TTTATGAATAACTTGCATCCTTAAGGAGTTAACTTAATTTATATCTACTCATATTCATGTAATTAAGCTTTTTAATGATTTGGCAGATTAATCAAAAAAATAATGAACCGATTAATCAATTATTAAAATAATCATTAGTTGCAGCCCTAATGAACACGCCTCTGCTTCGTCACACAGTGGACTACTGAGGTCAGCATAATGAGGAAAAATCAATTTTATGCCCTACTAATACTGCAAAATTTAAATTAAATTTTTTTGTTTGTTTGTTTGTTTGTTTGTTTTTACCCAGCCCTAATAGACAATGGTTATCACATTTTAGGCAAAAGTCTGGTGCAACAATATAACTTAGAATCTCTGTTGCTCCCAGACCAAATTTGGGCATGTCTTTAAACTTGGCTGAACTGCAGACATTTCTGTTTCCTAAGGTCAGTTGGCTGTGGTGGTCATCTTTTATTGAGTTGTCCCCAAAAGTTAAATGATTGCAGATGCACATCCAGTGATTACATTCTGAATGTTTCACTACAATCCGTCCAAACGTTCAGGAGATAGTTTGGTAAAAACAGACAGTCACACAGACTTGAGTAAAAACATCATCACGCTGCTCTCGACTGTGATGTAGGATGAAAACCTAAATAAACCACACCAAAATAGCAGCTTGAATTACAATATTTGAGCATTTTTGGTCTCAGAGTTGTGCAAATAATATGTTTGGAACCAAATCATCTGTTTCCAGCTATTCACATGTCTTCTGTTTGGCCTTTACCAGAAGTGGGGTGAGAGGTTTTCTTGTTAAACAGGTTCTGTTGCTGTGTGTGCTGTTAAAATGGGAATAATTCTCACAAATCACTTTCTGCGCAGGAATAAATCTCAACAAAACAAATGGCTTTGTTAACATTTCCTGGAGTGGGAAATCTCAGGCTAGTCTTGTTTTATTTTAGTAAAAACATAAAATATGATTCAACTCTGTAAAATTAATGAGTTTTTTCTCTCTTGAGATGTGTTCAGCTGCAGCTCTGCGGCTCTCTGAGGGAGTTCAGTTAATGGGTCGTGGGAGAACGAGTAGACTTTGAATGACTAAGCACACAGCTCAGGGGTGTTGCACATGGATGGGTGTTTCCCTTTTTGTCAGCTTTTCCCTGGAGAAGAAAAAGCAGATTACAGTGTTCTGGTGTCCGACACACAATCACTGGATTGCATCTCATATTTAAAGATCAGGACACTCTCGGGACCAGCAAATAAAAAGAATAAAGCCTCTTAGTGTAAACTTAGAAACTGTTCCAGCAGATTTGTGTTTCTCAAGAACGAATTAGGAATTAAAGTTGTACAAAAGCCCCATTAATGATGTAACAGTAAAACTAACCCTAGCAACAACACCAGAGTAAATAGAAGTACTGGGATTTCTTTGACCACAGCAAACATGACTCAGCTGTTACTGTAAACCTATTCATTGGGTTGTGAAAAGTTTAGCTTTACTTTCTGTCATTTTTATGATGAATTAGACTGTTAAAATAAATACCTTTAGTCATAGTTTTTCTTATTATAATTATTTTATTATTTATAACCTTTGAATTCAGGACACGTCAAGATGTCTGTTGCAGCTATTTTAGTCAGCACAAACTTGGATAAATTCAGTTGGTTTTTAGGGGTGTAAGAAAATATCGATACACTGAAATATTGCGATATTTCATTTCCCGATACTGTATCGATATTCTAAAGCCCTGTATCAATTTTTAATTAAGGTTTAAAATGTCAACCTTCTTGCCAACCGTTCATTTTTATGTTGTAGTTCAGCCTCTGACCACTAGTTGGCAGCAGTGAGCCAGCCATTTGGCTCCTTTACCTCTTTAGCGCCAGAGAGTAAGGGTAGCATTAGCATTGTACGTAAACATTAGCTTTTCTTTTTTCAGTAAGAGGTTTTTATTTAATAGAATTTTTGGTAAAAATATCGCAATATATCGCCTTGCTTACAGTATCCCAATATATCGGGATATATCGTATCGTGACCCCTCTGTTATGATATGTATCGTATCGCCAAATTCTTGCAAATACACAGCCCTATTGGTTTTACAGACAAAGAGTAAAGGTTGGACAAGTTGCAGAAAATACTGGTGGCTAAAAAACAAAAAGCAACATGAATAGAAAATAATGTTTCCTTCTGAGACATTCAACCTTTGACCTGCTTATTAACCTCTTTGTTGCAAAACCATCTTTTGAGATCTCACAATACTGTATTACATAGATTGCACATAATGGTATTTTCGAGGTTTGACCAAACTGTAACTCCCTCGTATCTCAACTCAAGATGAGCTTTAGTGTACAAGTCTGACATGAAAGGCAGCATTTCAACAAGGACTGCTGAGTATTTCATTTCTCTGTTTGAAGTTTAGTTCAGTAACAGTACAGGACACAAATCTGACCAGGGCTCTTGTTATTTAAAAACAAACAGTTCTCAAATTTTTAGATTAGATACTTATACTGATTTTTGGGATGCGATTTATGGATTTTGACTCTGAAAAAATACTTTGTGTTTTATTACATGAAAATTCTTGCATAATGATCTTTTTATGATGTGGGAGTCAGTTCTCACAAGTCTGAGGCCATGGTTCTTGACTGGAAATTTGGGGGTAGGGTCATAGCTTCAAGTGTAGGAGTTTAAGTATCTGGGTGTCTTGTTCACGAGTGATGATAGGATGGAGTTGGGTCAACAGATTGGAACGTCGTCTTCAGTAATGAGGGTGTTGCTTTGGTCAGTCATGGTGAAGAAACAGCAGAGTCAAAAGACAAAGCTCTCGATTTACTGGTTTGTTTACGTTCCAACCCTCATCTGTGGTCATGAAGTTTAGATCCGGATACAAGCGGCCAAAATGAGCTTCCTTCGTAGGGTGGTCAGCTTTAGAGATAGGGTGATGAGCTTTGCCATCCGGGGGAAACCTGGAGTAGAATACCTGTTCTTCCACATCACAAGGAGTCAGTTGAGGTGGTTCATCTGATTAGGATATGCCTCCTGGAAACCTTCCTTTAGAGGTGTTCTGGGCATATACGACTGGTATGAAAGACCCCAAAGTGTTTGTGCTGGGGGACCGGATCTTTGGCATAATGTGTTTTGGGGTTTTCAAGCCACTGGGAAACTGCAAGTAATGAGCTAACATTCTCAGTGAATAAGTATAAAATCTCCATCATCTCCCGTCTCCTGTAGGTGCGCCCTGCTCTGGGGTTTGACTGCTAAGCATGCTGGGTAAGGCTCAGCCAACTACTAGTAACCTGAACCTGGTGAATGCTGAGGCCACTGATACCAGAGCGGCTTCCGACATCCACGACGGAATTAAGATGGCCGACCTTGTGGAAAGCCTGGATGCCAGGGAGCTGGACTTCGAGGGGGGAGAGGAGCTTGAATACGATGGAAACAATCTGGGTGTGTTTTTATCATCTGCTTAGAATCTTACTCTCGTTTATCTAAACATACTGAAAAAGTAAGAAAATTATGAAACAAAGCCAACAAATACTCAGTCCAAAGGCTAATAAACCAGTCGTTCATTAATTAGAGAATTTAAAGCCATTAAAATGTTCAAAATATGAGATTTTTTGTATTTTTTTATTAGAATATTTTGGATATGTGTAACATTCATGATAAAAAAAATAACCATACACATCAATAACTATTACAGCCAACCACGTAATTTGTAATAAATTAGCAAAATCCAGATTCCTGTTTTTTTTTTTTAGCAACACTTATGAGTTGTTTGTTTACATTTGATTATTGATGAGGGAAAATAATAATTAAAGGACACTTGACATTTGTAAATTAAATTGAAGCTAACACTGGAAAAGGAAACATATTGGGAGAATGACAAAGCAACTGAAAGTAAAGTTATTTTAAAGTTATTTTCCCATCAAATAAATACTTTGGATGTTGCAAAATGAAACATTATGGGCAAAACAGTCATGTAAAAAGGAACGTCCACCCTACTTTAGTGCTAAGATTTTTACGTATAAGAACATAAAATGATCTGATCTTTATCAGGTTCTAAAAGAATGAAATCGTTTTTCATTTGTAAAAAAAAAAAAAAAGCTCAAATCAAAAAGCTGTAAGTGAAAAACTATGTCCCCTCCTGCTGCTTCCAGAGGACTTTTAAGAGGTTCAGTAGCAGCCAGGTGCTGCTGATTAAATGTATTGATTAACTCGTCATCATTATCATCATCAGTGTGAGCAGCTCTATAAAAGCTGGAGTTTTAATTAGCTGCTGTAGAAGGTCAGCGTTACAACTTACTCGCTCATAGGGAAGTAACACAATGAGAAAAGACAAAGTGGTGAAGTTTACTAAAAGAGTTTATTAACACTAAGGCAAGTTGTTTAAGTAAGTAAGTAAAGTTTTATTTATATAGCGCCTTTCACAGAAATAAATTCACAAGGTGCTGTACATTCAGGGAAGGGGGGAGGTGACAGTTAAGACCGGTCATGTAGCAACACAGTTGCGCTACCGTTAACAACAGACAACAGATAAACTAAAAATCACACAAGAGAAGATGAGGAATAAAGCAAAAACATCATATTATATCAACACTGTGACACACTATGGTGTTTATGAAAAAAAAACCTCTGCATAGAGCAAGTTATTAGCCAGAGGAGTAAGTGAGTTTAAGGGGCCCAAAGAATCCAGTCCCCAAAACCAGTATATTGATGGAACTGTTCATTCTGTGCAGCCTTCAGCCTGCTCAGGAAACCAGATTAGATGGGTGAGAGAGGAGGGGGGGGGGGTATGGGGCAGAGCCTTATCAACGTAATCCAGCCAGGAAGAATTTAGTCAACAGCTCAAGGCCGTTGTCGGGGAGAGCCAGATTCTGTAATCAGTTGTTTTGGGATCAGAAGAGTCAGGCAGACGATAACATTTTTCCATCTGCTTTAGTATTCTGCTGTTACATCTCAAGGTGGCGAATCCAATCAGACAAATAGTGTGGACAAATTCCGCTGAGCCAATCCTTCAGCTTCTCCAAGATCAATTCCATCTGGCCAGCAAAGTCCAGGGACCACAGCCGGCCCCCCACCCTCAATAGAACTGCTTGCAGACCGAGTCCAGCTCGCTCAAGGCAAATGTCCGAGTACTGATAGAATATGGCCATCCATCAAATTGGTCAGTCAGCCAGAAAATGAAAAGCCACCGACACTGTTTTGTAGAACACCAGGAGCCCACCAAGCCAATCTGTAGAATCCAGTGATCGGAGTCCAGATATATATCCAGAACAGAGAAGAACAGAGGTCCCACCTTTGACATGTCCTCCCATGGAAGAAGAAAAAACTTTGTTCCAAAAGTTTTATTGAGAGACCAGCTAACCAAATCCATAAAAATAAAAATATCCATAATTTCTRSTTTYGGATGAAAAATGTAGAGAAGGTTCCAAGCAGCAAAGCAGGGAAAGATAAGGAAGGGCAGGAGAGAAGGAAAAAGCGTCTTACTCCTCCGAGAGCAGGGAAAAAAATGTTTAGAGCAATCTAGCGATTTTTTCAAAAACTCAAAAAAGTTATCAAAAGAACTTATTTTCTCTCAGAGCCTGCAGGATGTTAAAAACAAAACAACAAATAAAATTAAATAAATCAGATAAAGTTAGAAATAAGTTCACCGCTCTTCTCCCCCGTCCTCCCCCCTCCTGCCTGCTCTGTTACCTGTGATTGACCGTCTCCTCACCCCCTCACACATCCCCACAGACTCGTGAGCGCATGAGAAATATGGACTTTAGATAGTGAACTTTTTATAACATCCACACTGGCAAGGGGCGCGCCCTGCATAATACCCAAAGTGTGACTTTTGCTGTTGTTCTGTTGAAATATTTCTTGTCAGGGAGGGGTCTGTGGGTCAGGGTCATCTGAGGAAGAAGGAGATGAATGGAGATGTGTGAACTTTTATTTAAGATTTAAGTTTTTTTATTTCAAAGGTCCTTATGGCTCAGCAGCAGAAGAATAAATATTACTGTTAATAAAGCTGATGATAAAGCTGAATAAAATTTTAAGTTTGATTATGAAGTGAAATTAAATATCTGACAGTGATCATGACGCAGTGTGACTCTAATTCCTCACTTCACCATCTGTGTCACAGTTTCACGTCTCCAAAATGAGCGTACGCATGGGTCAGAGCTGGCTGAGGCACCGCACATTTTCATGTCAAGTTTGGATTTTATAAATCACAACCTTTGCGTGAAAAGTGCCGTACGCAAGTTTCTGGGCTCGTTTTGTGCGTACGCAAGCTTTATAAATCTGACCCTAGATCTTTTCCCTCTGGTTTTCCTTATGATAATACTCTGAGCATGATCTATTGCAGGTAAGATATTGATTACTGATACTAAAAAGTAGTTTAAAAAAAGCTCAAATTTTTTGTCTAGACGTTTTTCTAAAATTGTAAAATGTGCTACACTGGTCAGCTGAACAAAATGGGTTGATGCTGTTTTACGATCTAAAAAAAGATTTCAATTAAATAAGTACGCATTAATGTGATGAGGAGGATGTTTCTTTGAAAATTATAAAAATGTCAAATTAAATGGAAAAACTCAAAGTAGAAAAAGGTCTTTCATTTGATGCAGCCCACTCGCTCTTAAGATGCCCAAATAACTCCTACACAAACAAACAGAAAAACCTAAACTAAACAAATTATCAGCTCAACCACTGGCATGTTTTCTCTCCCAGGTGACTGTCAAATACCGTTTTCAGCGGTGTACGCCACGGTGGGCTTTAAGGAGGCCGATGCAAGGGTCTACATGCCCACTGTGCCCATCACCGCCCGGATCCTGGAGGTGGAGCGCTTCACGGCGGCACAGGAACGCTCCAATTTGTCCCACCATCGGAGTGTCAACAAGGTTAGGAACCTGTATGCTCCTATCCACCTACAGATCAATACACTTTCACAATAAAAGCTCCTATAATTTACTTTTAGCTTTGTTTTCTTGGAGGGATTTGATCTTATGTTTGCTTCACTATAGTTCATATTAAATGTGTAATTATTATACTTCTGCATACTTTGTGATATTTTAACCGTTCAAATCGAACTGTTCCTCAATTCAGGGCATTGATGCTAAGAATTTAGTTTTTTCTTTATATTTTATATTATTCATATTATTTAACTTTTTTTAACAAATATTTTCTTCATGTTGTCACGTCCTTCAAAAACAATGTGTAAAATCTGCTTGCTCTATTTTTTTGTCTTGTTATGCTACATTGAGTTAATGGCTAGCCTTTTGCTGCTTTCAGTTTTGCTGCTTTAATTTTTTAGCTACTTTTAAATAAATTTGTGGAACTTTTAGCTTTTATCTAGCATTTTGTTGCTTTGTTTCTAGCTTGACTTTTGATTTTTTTTGCTGGCCTTCTGACATGCTGAGCTTCTAGCTACCATTTTGCTGCTTTTATATTTTAGCAATAAGATTTTGCTTTGTTTAACTAACTTTTCACTACTTTTAATTTTATCTAAGCTTTTGCTGCTTTTAGCTTGTGTTTCCCAATTTTAGCTTTTAGCTAGCCTTTCGCTACATTTCGATTTAAGTTAGCTTTTCGATACGTTTAGTATTTAGCTAACATTTTGCTTATTTTGGCTTTGTTCCATTTATCATGTGTTCTGCTTCTTTCACCTTTTACCAATTCAGTTTCACCTCCTTCAGCTTATTAGCAGCACTCAGCATCCCCTATTTCTCTGGTTAATGTTTGTTGTTTATTACGTTTCCATGAAGTAGCTGAAGCATGTCGTCTAATCTGTGTGTGCAGTCTCTGCCGGCTGTGTTTAGGATTGAGATGAAACATGGCGAGTTTACGTGGGTCATTAAGAGGAAGGAGAAACACTTCATGGAGCTGCACAGAGAGCTGAGGACATACAAAACCTTCCTTAGGATACCACTGCCATCACGCAAGTTGGTGCCAGCACTCACACACAAACTCTCATACTGTCCACCACATACATGATCACATGGAGACACATGCACAAACTGTCCACGCTGTTGAATTTTTAGGATTTTTTCTGGTACACACAGCTATCTTTATGGGGACCAAAGTCTAGTTCTAATATGGTGGAACACTATTTTTGGGTGAAGGTTTAGGTTTAGGGCTAAGATGTGAATAGAGTGGGGGTTAGAGTAATGGGGGATAAATACGTGGTCCTAATGATGAAATAGAGCAGGGGTGTCAAACTCATTTACACCTAGGGCCACATGAGGGTTATGGTGGCCCTCAAATGGCCAGTTGTAAATACATATTCATGTTTAAAACAACACGTTCCTCGTCTCATTACTATGGCTGAGCGCAGCTAACAAACAATAATTGAGCTCTATGTGGTATTTCCTGCATAGAAACAACGTTTTAAAACGTTCTCTTATAAATACTGAAAAATACTAGGTGTACAACTGACTAAATGTGAAATAAATAATACAGAAATACTAGTGAGGTGTACAAACCACGTCTTCTGGTTCTGCGGAACTGCTGCTGCTCAATGAAGAGAGAAACTCTGAAACAGGCTGGTTGAACAGCAAGATTCTTTATTTTGCAGTCCAGGAGATTACAGCCAAAAACCAAATTGTGGCCTCCAAGCCAAATGATTCACCAAGTAAGAAAGATGAAGAACGAAGGTGAAGGGTAGGGGCGTACAAGGCTCTTTATAGTGTAGTCCAACAGATGCACCATAAATTTTGTCACGGTATACCTTAAGTATTCCTCTTCCTAATATGGTAATATGTGCCGAGCTCTGAAGCTGGAGAACCAAGAGACGCATAACACATCTGTGCATTCCTGAGAACAGGCCCCCACTCTTGGACACTACACTAGTAAAATTAAAAGTAAGAGAGTTTTATTCACTGATGAGTTATGGTGAGTAGCTTCCATCTTGAACTCTGAACTCTTCCAATTTCTGACAGGGAACTCCCATGTATAATCGACATGCGTTATGAGAGGTGAAGTTTATGGTCAATGCTGACTTATTTTGAGACATTAATGCTGTGCTATCCAACTAAATTGCTTAGTAACTTAATAGCAAATAGACTAAACTTATGTAATGCTTTATCAAGCCATATGGGGACCCCAAAACGCTTTACACTGCAGTCCTGACCACCACCAGTAACCCTCCAGCTACAGGACGACTCCCCTAACCACTCCACCACAGCCGCCCTTAAAGCCAGCAGCTCAGGGGCAGGACAAGCATTTTTCACTTTTTTTCACCATTGATATAGAAAC